ATCTTCTCAGATTCTTAATGTAACTTCTAAAAACCAAAACAGCCTCGAAATGGTAATTTGTGTTGCACCCCTCCCTCGAACGTGAAGAGATCCCGCGCGCTGTCAAGCATATTTTTGAACGTGAAGAGATCACATATTTCTAAAATATCTGAGATTCTTGTGAACCCTGTTTAAAGAAAAAAACCTCCTAAAATGTCTAAAAATTAACGATGCCCGTTTCATCAACGTTTCACGGAGTCCAAATGTTTTTACAATAGAATACAAGTTATTAAAGAGCGTACATTTTAAAATATGTTTAGATTTTTGTTGAGCCTCTTAAAAGCAAAAACTTCAAAAGTAAAAAAAGTGATATATTTGCTCAGTGTAAATAAGCAAACTTCTAGATCATATACAATTTTGAAATATATATAAAAATATTTAAACATTTTTGTAGAAAACAAAAAAATAGAATTTTCAAAAAATGATAAAGTCCCTCTCTATTTCTGTGTATGTGTTTATGAGTGTTGAGTGTTGAGTAGTTATTTTATTCAAATTTAATACTTTACAGTTTACACTATAATTCCATACCAAGCTAACCACAACATCATTTAATTTTGATAAACAAACCACATAGAAAAACATCATATGTTCAAATGTTTCCTTTCAGATTTTAATGTTTTGTGACAGTATTTAATTTTATATTTCCTAATTATTATTATTTTTGTTTTTATTTCGATTTGAAATTTGAATTTGAAAAAGATTTTTTCAAGCACTTTTTCCCTAAAAAGGTTTTCCATCTTTGAGTTAAAATTTTTTCGCAAAAAATGGCAGAATTAAACTTGTTTTGGGTTTAAATTTTTAATTTCAGCTTTTCTTTATCTTAAAATCAATATTTTTTACAATGTTTTTTACAATGTCCACAATTTAAATGTAAGAAAATAGTTTTATCTTGGGGTACCGGTACGATTTTGACACTTCATAACTCCTAAGTTTTCAGTTTACACTCCTAGTCAAGAAAAAGCATTTGTTTGTTAAAATGTAAGTATTTCTGAATTAATAATTTACTAGGTATAAATTATAAATTCAGAAATATGTAATATTCCTTTTTTTGGTATATACATAATAAAATTTCAAGTATTAATTAATCTAAATTATAAATTTTTTCAATCGGTTTAAATATAAAAAAATTATGACACATTATCTTAAGAATTGGTTCATTTCTTGTGTCATGCGCATAAAATAACAATTACTATAAATTACTAAAAGTGTTGGGATTCATTTTAAATATTGTTAAAAGATGTGTTGAGTTGAGACGAAGTGTTGATTTTAACAAATATTAATATTCACGACTCAATAGTTAAACAATGCCCTTATTTCCAACTATTTTAAACTATGCTTCATAACAAGCCTTGAGGGGGGTGAAGTTGTTAAATATTTTTTAAAAAGATATTTTGTGAATTTTCAACCATTTCTTCTCTTTTTTCAACCCCCCCCCCCCCTCCTCCCCCAATTGCTATGTATGTAAGCACCTTTTTGCATGTGGTTCTGAATCTATTAAGGACGGATTCCTAGGCATGGTTTGCTAAAAGCGTCTCCTCTGAGCCCTGCCTGGCCCGTACACTGCCCGAATTGACATAGCGACCTTGCGAACGTAAGATTGAGCGAGGGGTGTATGTTGTTTTTGTAGATATTGATTGAGAAAGGGGGATTTTCGGGGATTTTATTTTTGAACAATTAAAAAAATTTTACAGTCAATAATTATAAACCAGGAATTTTAATCTCTGAAGAATTGGGGGTGGGGGGGTAAACACTTAAAAGTTAGAAAACCCGTCTTGAATACAATTCTAAGAACAGTCTGACAGAAGACAAACAGAAGGGTTGACGGACACAAACATGCTTAAACCTGGTGGACACACAATAGAGTTAGGGTACATCTGGCAGGACTGGTGATCACGATCCAGATAGATAGATAGATAGATAGATAGATAGATATATAGATAGATAGATAGATATATAGAGAGATAGATAGACAGATAGATAGATAGATAGCAAGATAGATAGATAATGCTCAACCCCGGTAAGCTAATGCAACCCCTAAACTGACCCCCTCCAACAATTTTCAACCCCCGGCCCTGAAGTGGTTGAGTTTGCCCACTAAAAAATGTTTGAAACCCTAAAGTTGAGAGATAAGACTGTATGAGTTTAATCTCAAGCCAAATCTTCAAGTCAGTGCTTTAATTTTGTCAACTTCATAATCCGTAGTTTCGTTCTTTCAGGGGTTGCCAAATAGATCTCTTTCTATCTTTCTATATTTTACGATTTTTTCCCCGCTAAAAGTGGACCCACTTAACTATGAATCTCAATCTTAAAACATTTCCGTACCATCTCGATCAGTTCCCCAATCACAGGAACTTGGTTTTTGCCACAAACTCAAGTTTTCTAATCCCTTTTACTTTGCAACCTGATGGTGTAAACATGTAATATTTCAAACTTAGATTATTTGATCCAGCAGAATTGTGTTGCAGAGATATAGAGATTAGAAAAAACAGAGTTTGTGGCAAAAACTCAATTCTTTTGAGGCAAATCAGTTAGGAGGTTTCTGAGTTATGATCGCAAAATTAAACAGACAGACAGATATACAAACAGAGATTACAACTTTATATATATGTAGCTTTTTGTCTATATAACAATTTAGATTTTTTTCCTATTCTGTGTTTGCCTGTCAATGTTCAATATTTAGGTCTATAAAGTGTACAGTGTACACGTAAGTAAAATTTTGCATTTAACTTTTGCACTTCGTTGCACTGTAATTTAACCTAACTTTTTTTTACAAATTTAAACATGTTGCAATTTTAACTTGTCTGCTATTTTTTTAGCATTCAGTGAGTAAATGCAGGATAAAATATTGCCTATTGTTAATATAATCCCTCAACCCCCCTTCTCCTCTGTCCTTCATTAATTCGTCAAACCTTGAAAGATAAAAATGTGTACACAACAAGGGAAAAATTCCCGCATTTCCATTTAGATAAATTATATTTATATGTTTGCGCCATATTCATGTAAATGTTGTTTTCATGTTATAAACATTGTTTGTTCCAAGATTGGGACAAACATTTGTGAGTCAACAATTATGAACAAACACCGTAGAGTCAACAAACATTACATTATTTATTAATCTCAGAAATGGGCCATGGTATGGTGGATATTAAGCATGTTATAATATTCTAAAAATTATATAAAAATTTTTAATTACTTATGAGGATTAAGGAGCAAAATCAGTTCATTTGCATTAGTTTATAATGCTCTTAAAATATAAAAAAAATAAAAAATTTTTTAATTAAGTGTTTTTGTGGTTGTTAAAATCTGTTATTTTAGATATTGCCATGGACTGGTCTGATCATGCTATATGGTGGCCAACTCGAAATATCTGGCTTGATAAAACTAGGTCAGTTTAGGTTAATAGGATAGGAGGTCATTATTCTTTAGGAGGTCAATAGGTTAGGAGGTCATGAGGCTTTTATTTTAGGTGTTCAATAGGGTAGGAGGTCAATATGTTCGGAGGTCAATAGTTTCGGAGATCCGGAGGCTAATATTTTAGGAGGTCAATGGGTTAGGAGGTCAGGAGGCTAATAGTTTAGGAGGTCAATAGTTTAGGAAGTCAATAGTTTAGGATGTCAATTGTTTAGGATGTCAATTGTTTAGGATGTCAATTGTTTAGGATGTCAATTGTTTAGGATGTCAATTGTTTAGGATGTCAATTGTTTAGGATGTCAATTGTTTAGGATGTCAATTGTTTAGGATGTCAATTGTTTAGGATGTCAATAGTTTAGTATATCAATTGTTTAGGATGTCAATAGATTAGAATGTCAATAGTTTAGGATGTCAATAGTTTAGGATGTCAATAGTTTAGGATTTCAAAAGTTTAGGTTGTCAATAGTTTAGGTTGTCAATAGTTGAGGATGTAAATAGTTGAGGAGGTCCATTGTTTAAGATGATAAAGAGGATAAGGGTGTCTCTATTTTAGGATGTCAAAAGGTTAGGAGGTCATTCAAGTTTCAAAGGTCAGTAGTTTAGGAGGTCAATATAATTCAGGAGGTTAATAGTTTAGGAGTTCTGTTATGTTCTTATACAAATATTTAATATTTTAATAATAATTATTCAGATGGACTTTGGACCAGTATACAGTAAATGCTGACACAGTAATCCACTTTACTCCAATGCACAAAACTTTAAGGTTAAATTTTTTTAAAATTTTAGATTTAGCTTTTTTTTACTAGGCTTTCAGGGTGCTTTGTTTACAGTGTAAAACAAAAACAAAAAAAGTTCGCGGATTTTCTAAAAAAATTTCTTGGACACACAAAAAATTTGGGCTCGATCGGTTCAGTCGTTTTGATGTTTATTGGATACAAAGAAACAGACAAACAGGCAGATAGACAGACAAGCAAAGTATATATAGAAGGTTATATTTTTCATATTTGTATATATCTTCTTGTCCTCAATCAATCTGGGAGAATTTGTGAACATACAAAGCCGATTTTGCAAAGAAAATACTAAAAAGATTAAATGATTTGAAATTATTTAGAAAACAAACATGTTTTATTTTAGAATTCAGCTTCCTGATCTAAGATATGTTGACTGTACTGTAGATTTTAGCGTTAAAACATTTAATGCTGGGGTGGTGATGTGCCGTGATCTTGGACTTAGGTAAATATTTTTTTTTAAACTTTAAACGAAAAAACATGTTAAACATTTATGATGATTTTTATAGACACCCTGAAGAGTTGTCGCTATGTAAACCGTTGGACCCTGAACATCTGAAGCAAAACTATCAGGTAGCTCCGACACCATTTTGTTTTAATCCGCACATTTTATTAAATAGCGGGACATGTTTAGGAGGTCATGATGCGGAGACGACCACCAGTTCCAACTAAAGAAGGAAATACAGGAGAGCGGATCGACACAAACACCTTTGTTTCTCAGGTAAAATAAATAACTTTTTTTTGTGTTGTTCAGAAAATCTATTTTTTGTTTGTTTGTTCAGACGGGAACTTTACGATCTCCCAATACGAGCATGAACACCCCGACCTCGACATTAAAAACTCCACGAACACATAGGAATAGTCCTCAGGTGACATAACGGATTTTTTGTTGTCAAATAATATTTCCGCAGAAGCCCACTGCAGGCTAAAGTATGCATATGCTCAAAACCTGAATTACTTTTATCCTTTACAAGATTAGATTGACGAGTTACCCAGGCAAGAACATGTTTTAAATCTGTAGTTTGAAATACAAATCCACATAAAAACACGTGTCAAGTCAAGACGAGTGTATAGCAAAACATCTACTTTTTGTCCATATTGACCAATTAGGAGACAGTTGGAAGAAAAATTAGGACAAAAAACAGATTTTTTAATTTGAAACTCCAGCAGTTAGCATTATTATTAGCATTATCTTTATAATTTCACAAAATACAGGTTCTTTTAAAATGTTCAAGTTGGCTTGGAACTGCCTTGAACTAAAAGTAGAAAAAGCAAGATTTTAACATGATTGATGTGACAGTTTATAAGTGCAAAATGAAGGATGGGGGGTGATTTATTTATCTTCATGTTGACTTATTTCATTCCATTAAAAATTGGCATATAGTGTGCGAATTAAAAGCCATCAAGTAATTATAATCTAATTCAAATAATTCAAAACACAAATTTTCCAGAACTTCAAGAAAACAATCAAATAACGTGAATTGATGTTGAATTGGAGAATTTTTTTAAAAAATCTAGACATGAATCTAGACATGAATCTAGACATGAATCTAGATATGAATTTAGACATGAATCTAGACAGTGAAACATGAAAACTGTCGTCTTTGTTCTGTCTTGAATTTGAGAAATGTCAAATTGAGTATTCTGTAATTTGCAACAGATATATCTCTAAATACGTGCAGGACACTTTTTAGTGCAAATTACAAATTCCAAGAAAAAAAGAATACTATGAGAATTCCACTGTTCTCTGGTTCTCCCTGTATATACGTAAACGCAAATATCATGATAAAGGAGTATGATTAATTTGAAACCAAGATTAACTCAAGATCATGATGAAATCCGAGATTTAATTGGAGCTTAGCTTACAACCATGATGCAAGGAAGAAAAGATTTTAGCTCATGATGAGCACTATAATATCACCTATCTATCTATCTATCTATCTATCTATCTATCTATCTATCTATCTATCTATCTATCTATCTATCTATCTATCTATCTATTAAGATAGTGTCATAGAGAGGGTGTTGTAATTAACAAAAATGCAGACAACTGTTTTGGGCCGGGGTTAATTAGTAGAAAAGAAAGACGTGCGGAAAAGTGATTAAAATTAACGACCCGGGCAATGTTGTTCTAAAACTTAATTAATTACTTAAAGTAATTACTTACCCAGTGAGAATATTGCACAAGGATGTACGCGGGGGGGGGGGAAATATTTGTATATGAATAATCCCCCTCCCCCCCTGCTGATGTTAAAGGGACTATCAACAAATATTCAGTTGATATTAACTTTTAAGAGTGCAATGAAAAATCTGAAATCGCGAAGTTCTTTTTTGTCTTTTCTTAAAGGTACTGTTACTACAACTCTTACAGGGACATGTAAGCGTAATTTCAAGTGACCCTCCATGCAAATATGGCAATTCCCGATTCACAGCCTGTATAAATTAGTCATCAATGTTTTAGTTTTTCCATTTTAGTTTCTCCCATTTCTCGTTTATAAGAAGGTAATGGAGAAACTCACAGAAATAAACACTAATGAGTCAGAAAACGACGGTATTCACATTTATGGTATATGATTGAAGTTTCAAGGGTACTGTTGTAAATTGGGTATTGTAATTGCATGCAGGGTTTCTTGATATTACGCTTACCGTCCCTTTAAAGCCTATGAGATATTGAAGATATTTTCGGGACGAAATCTTTAAATTTAAAAAACAAATCTTTAGATAATTCATCTTGGTGGTAGCAGAGGCATTCAGGTTAATATACCGGGGTTTTCACGTAGTTTATAGATATTCTAGATAGTTCTAGGACATTCTAGATAGTTCTAGGACATTCTAGATAGTTCTAGGACATTCTAAATAGTTCTAGGACATTCTAGAAAGTTTTAGGTCTTTATAATTGGCACTTCTGAAAATGTCTAAATATTTCTAGTAAGTAATAGAGTCTTTTCCACAAATTTAAATGTTTAAATTCCTATTTTTTTGCAACCTGATGGTGTAATCTTTTTTATTTCAAACATAGAATATTAGATCCAACAGAAAACCTAGTTTGACATATCTAAGGGCTACGAAACTATAGATATATTATAGAATAATATAGAGTTTAGGCAAGAACTCATTTCCTTTCTGAACATTTCTAAACACTTGTAGTCATTTCAAGACATTTCTAGAATTTATTTCAAATTATGTTTCTAATCATTTAGACGTTAATAATCATTTTCGGGCATTCATATGCTTACTAGATATCGCTTAAAGTCATTCCAAACTTGGCTCGACATTTTTAGACATGTCATGAACCTTAATAGACTTTTATTAGATGTTAGATGTTAGATGTTAGATGTTAGATGTTAGATGTTAGATGTTAGATGTTAGATGTTAGATGTTAGAAGGGAATTTGTCACTTTGTAACTAGCACAGTTCTTAATGATGTTTCTTGTTGAATAAATGAAATGTTAGATACAAAAAATCACAATCAAAAAATACCGAAGATGAGTTAAACAAAAATCTTTTAACTCCATAAAATCTTTAAACTTGTCGGGGTAAATTATTCATTGCTTACCCACAAAAGACAAGACTTCAGGCTAAAATTAGCATTTTATTTAATAAAACTAGTAAAATCCAAAATTTAAGGCAGAAACCCAGAATCAAGCTTCGAATTGTTTGGGGTCGACATTATTTGATTATACAGTTTTATACTTTGTGGGTAACCCTACAGTACTGAGAAGCATCATTTACTTTAGTGTAGTGTTACATTATTTGGCACGTAAACTCACTTTTTATTTGGAAGATTTCAATGTTTTTTTTTTAAGATTTGGTGTATTATTCAATGTTTCATTTTTTATTCCGATTTTTCTGTAGATCTTATTGAAGATGTCGTAGTATACTTAGCTTTTAGATATTATTTGACAGTTTAGGAACTATTAGAATTAAGCACTTTTCAACTTCAAGGACTGATCAGAACAATATTTTATAATTATCATTGGCGAATCAGACAGGGAGCCGGATTAAAATAACGCTTACAGCCCCTTTAATACCAGAAATACTAGATAGGAATATAATTACAAACATAGTCTTTTTCAATGGTAAACTTTTAATTATGTATGCCTTATAGGTCCCGAAAACATATTTTTCATCAAAATTATGCATAATTCACATTTTTTTCGAGTTAAAATTTTTTCATTAATTATATTTTAATTTCTAAACTTTTCTTTAGGTTTGTTTTTAGATTTTCTTACAAATCGTTTGACCGTCAGATATTTATTCTTTTTAGTGTTCTCAAATAATACAAAACATTCCTTAACTTTAATTTCTTGTAAAAGTTTAATTCCACATCTTAATTGCTGCAGTTATTTCAACAAAATTTTAAGCTTTTTTCAGAAAATTCAAAGTTATTTTTTCTAAAAAATTTCAAAAATCTAGTGGAGCATATTTATTATGTTTATTATATTTATTACAACAAAATTTTAAGCTTTTTTCAGAAAATTCAAAGTTATTTTTTCTAAAAAATTTCAAAAATCTAGTGGAGCTTATTTATTATGTTTATTATATTTCTTTGAAAGATATAAAATGTATGTCTAGATATTTTTGAACTATAAATTGAAAAGAGAAATTGTAAAAAAAGGGAAATATTGTTGATGGTGTATCCGTCCTTTAGTAATAAAATAATTCTGATAAATAAGAAAAAAGATTAGAAGTAGAAAATGGGCTTCTTTTAATATTGGAAAAAACCTTATGAGAACCGCAGGGAAAATATGATTTTTATATAAGTTACAGTGGTAACCAGAATAAAGTGGAGTAGTGGTGTCTTTTTATGGATTATCAGTGCGATTTACTAATATGTTACCAATTTGTCTATAAAAGTGACTTAAATTGGTTTTTACATAATTACAAATTACAAATTCCTTCACGAATTTTCTTCAATTTGATGACTATCATTTTACTCTGTTTATTACTTCACAATGTGTGTTATGTACTCTACAATTAAATCCTGCCAAAAATTAATAAACAATGTGTGTTTCTTAGACCCAAAATGGTAGAAACATATGAAAACTTTTACTGCTAAAATATATATTTGAGGAAAATGATATTTCTTATAGTGCCAGGTTTTTTGTAACTTTGATAACAAATCGTTAATTTTTAATGAATTTACACTGTACAGTGCACACATTACACAGTGCAGTTTTTTGAAGCTAAATAGTTTAAGGATTATTGCATTCAATGATACCTGCAGTCGTTTCCAGAATAATGTGGAATAGTATTAGGCATGTTTTTACTTTGCAGTAATATCACTGTTAATTAAAATTGATAAAATATAAAATAATAATTTAAAAGGATGAGACTTCAGAGACGACTGTACAGAATTCATGCAGTTCTTATTCCCTGCGACTTGAACATTGTTTTTTTTCTTTGTCAAATCACAAAGTAAATCATTTAAAAATTATATTAAACACAACAGAACAAATTCAACCTTCTGATCGCTTTGGATAATGAATTTCGGGTCGTCATTAAAGTGAATCCTTTGTGAGTAACCCTGTGTCTAAATTCAACCTATGCACATACCTTTGGTATTCCAAACTAATCTAGCTAAATTCATAGTTTGAAATATGAATGGTAGCAGAGATGCATGGAGTATTAAGCATCACTTTGTTTTATAGATCACTGTATATGTTTTAGAGGAGTTCGCAAGAGTACAGGAGTAGCTGTAGATATGAGAATAGGAGTACACTCAGGAAATGTATCCCCCCATCAACCCATCAAACCCATACTCCTCTACTCAATTTATCAAATAACTTGGAAATTACAAAATTGCTGAATTTAATCCAATTGTTCATCCCTGATTTGTTTTAAAAGTAAAAATATTTTATGTATATTTTTGGTAAGAATATATTAATGCAGAGGGCAAAGTTTGGGATTTTTTCCAGATCAAATTTTTGAAGAAGGCATTTCTGTTTTAAGAACCCAAAGCCAAAAGGGCGACAAAAGAAAAGTTTTCGAAAAATTTAAGGTTTGTTCTAATTTTGATTCAAACGAAAGTTAGACTTTTGTATGCTCGAAGGCTGAAAATGTTACACTGTTAAAAAACCTAACATTTTGTTCCTAATATCGAACTACAGGAAATATTTCGTAATTGACATTTTATTTGAAATATTGAAGCGAATGTCAAGGAAATCTCATAAAGGAATTGAGTCTTTGCCACAAATTCGGTTTTTTCAAAACCTATATCTTTGCAACCATATGGTGTAAACCTTTGATATTTCAAACTTACATTATTTGACCTAATAGCATTCATAGTTTGAAATATTAAAGATCCGTGACATTGGGTTGCAACGATATTAAAATCAGAAAATCATAGTTTGTGGCAAAAACTCAATTCCTTTTCAATATATCACAAAGGAAAAAATATTCTCTTTGATATCTAAATTTGAGTTTTGAAATTAGAGTAAGATAAGAGTGTTTAGTTTTTTAGACTTGGTATCAATTAACATTTGTTTCACTTTTCAACTCTAGATTTCACTCTATTATTTTTGCACACTTTATTAGTAGCATTAGTCATATGTGGCATGCAAGTAGAAAAAATATCCAGGAATGCCCAGCCCTAATCTGCACAAACAAATATTTATATTGTTAAACAATGTTTTTAAGACCATATAAAGGTTTTTGGAATAGCAAAATTAATGATATTAGGTAAAGATATGGGAAACTAAAGGTTTTTTTTATTTTGTGGTTAACTTTTAGTTAATTTTTTCTTATCAACATACTGTTTGTTTAACAAACAATGTAACTGAACGATTCTTTCGTTTTATAACAGAATATTTAGAATATTTAGAATATTTAGAATATTTAGANAGTTTATGTTTAGATACAAGTATTACAGTTTATGTTTAGATACAAGTACTACAGTTTATGTTTAGATACAAGTATTACAGTTTATGTTTAGATACAAGTACTACAGTTTATGTTTAGATACAAGTATTACAGTTTATGTTTAGATACAAGTACTACAGTTTATGTTTAGATACAAGTATTACAGTTTATGTTTAGATACAAGTACTACAGTTTATGTTTAGATACAAGTATTACAGTTTATGTTTAGATACAAGTACTACAGTTTATGTTTAGATACAAGTATTACAGTTTATGTTTAGATACAAGTACTACAGTTTATGTTTAGATACAAGTATTACAGTTTATGTTTAGATACAAGTACTACAGTTTATGTTTAGATACAAGTATTACAGTTTATGTTTAGATACAAGTACTACAGTTTATGTTTAGATACAAGTATTACAGTTTATGTTTAGATACAAGTACTACAGTTTATGTTTAGATACAAGTATTACAGTTTATGTTTAGATACAAGTACTACAGTTTATGTTTAGATACAAGTATTACAGTTTATGTTTAGATACAAGTACTACAGTTTATGTTTAGATACAAGTATTACAGTTTATGTTTAGATACAAGTACTACAGTTTATGTTTAGATACAAGTATTACAGTTTATGTTTAGATACAAGTACTACAGTTTATGTTTAGATACAAGTATTACAGTTTATGTTTAGATACAAGTACTACAGTTTATGTTTAGATACAAGTATTACAGTTTATGTTTAGATACAAGTACTACAGTTTATGTTTAGATACAAGTATTACAGTTTATGTTTAGATACAAGTACTACAGTTTATGTTTAGATACAAGTATTACAGTTTATGTTTAGATACAAGTACTACAGTTTATGTTTAGATACAAGTATTACAGTTTATGTTTAGATACAAGTACTACAGTTTATGTTTAGATACAAGTATTACAGTTTCTATGACTTGAATCCCAAATATGACTCAACACGAATAAATCAGATCTATGAACAGGCCAGGTAAAGTTTTCTAATATATTCAAGGATTAAGAGCGTTTTCTGTCTCAATTGAATGTTCAGTTTTTCGTTAATATTTATTCTTTGCTAACGCTATAGCAAAATTTTGGAAATCTACAAATTTACATTTGAAAATATGTTTGGATGTTTGGATTTTGAATTTTTAAGTGAAAAATAAAAATAAAACTGATTTGAAAGATTCAAGTTGCATGCAAGAGAGGTAAAAAGTCCAGTAAAAAAAGATGAAGTTGAATGCTTGAGTTCTCTTAAATTTTCTTGTTTTTGCAATGCTGCGGCCTGTGTCTTGTGTTCTAAACTTATCTGACTGAATCTTAACTATTTTTATTTTAAAATCTGAATGAAATTTTTTATATCTCCGGTTTTTTATTAAATATTAAAAAGGCAGGCCACATTTTGGAAATACCGCAAAATATGTAAAATCAAAGACCAACTTTAAGTCGTCTCCAAATTGTCATGTTTAAATGTCTCGAACATAAGAACAATCAATCTTTACAGTATTTGAAGCAAGCTTCAGCTAGAGTTTCATCATTCTTTAAAGGGAGTGTTCGCGAATATTGGAAGGGGGTATAGGCTTATATTGTATTTTTTATGATCTGAGAGTTACTTTTGAAAACATTTATTCCTGTTTTGAGGATTTTTGATAATGAAGACGACATTTTCATATTTTCCAAGAATGTTCGAAAATCCAGCGCCAGCGAACATTATTTAAAATATGGCTAATTTCTCTCTGGTTTCTCTGTAAGTTACTTATATGTATCTGCTTTATAAACATAGAAGAAAATTATCAGAAGTAAACACAAAGCATGAAAAACTACTATATTTTTCACATCATTGCCCGGAACGGTACCGTTGTGAATTGGATAGTTTTTTTAATGTTTACCATTTATGCCTATAATAAAATTTGTTTGTAGATGGCAGCTATTGAATGAAGAAGTGGATTGTACAGAAGAAGAAATGATGCTGTTTGCTGCTCTGCAATTACAGGTTAGTTAGTATACTTTTCATTTAGTTTCATTTTTACGCCGCTAGATGGAGTTATGATCACCTTAGCTTTGAAATGTATCCTTCAGGGTTAACCACAAAGGATGAGACATTAAAGACGACTGGCAGGAATTTTTATCGTCTGTTAACTTTTTTTCAGATTACCTGCAATGCAAATGTAATATTGTGAATTGTTGCCAAAATCATTAAATAAGCCATTAATTAACTGTATCTATGGCAAAGATGTATTTCAGTTTTATTAGACTTTTATTCCTATTCCACAATTGTATGCGTGTCCAGGTGTACCATAAATGTACAAGTAAATTGGTTCTGTTTTGTACAGAACAATGGTTGTATTTAATTTTTATTTGTTTGCAAAAAAAACTAACTCTAGTCGTCTCTCTATATTCTTTTTCATCCAATTCACATAAATTTCACAAGAAGGAGATTTGGCGTACCGTGCCGTTTTGCCTTATATTTTCTGTATGTGTACTTTGCAGCTTGCTCAAGCAGGTTTAAAGTCGGCCCGGAACTTAAAATGAACTGGATTTTCCAGTTATATTGTCCGTAGTATAGTGTGTACGGTACTGCTTGCTCAAGCAGGTTTAAAGTCGGCCCGGAACTTAAAATGAACTGGATTTTCCAGTTATATTGTCCGTAGTATAGTGTGTATGGTACTGCTTGCTCTATCAGGTTTAAAGTCGGCCTGGTACTTGAAATAAACTGGATTTTCCAGTTTTATTGTCCGTAGTATAGTGTGTACGGTACTGCTTGCTCTATCAGGTTTAAAGTCGGCCTGGTACTTGAAATAAACTGGATTTTCCAGTTATATTGTCCGTAGTATAGTGTGTACGGTACTGCTTGCTCTATCAGGTTTAAAGTCGGCCTGGTACTTGAAATGAATCGGATTTTCCAGTGAATTGTATCATAAATGTATTGTACTAGGTTGCTATGCAAGCCAATGTTCCCCAGCCAGCAACTGACGAAGATGAAACTGATGACGTTGATGAGGAATTGAAAAAATTACAGGTAAATATTGTAGCAAAGATTTCGCTAACGTTTAGTGGTACAAATTAGTTCAAAAATTTCGCTAGCGTTTAATGGTTCAAATTGTGGCAAAGATTTTGATAAAATATTTTAACAAAATATGTTTTAAAGTTGTTTGGCAAAAGTTGTAGCAACATACAACTTAGTTAAATCAAATATTCTACAAAAATCGACAAAATAGTCGGGCATTAAAAATGGCAGACATAACGATACTGATTTAAGTTAATCATTGTGGCAAAAATTTAAACTTTTTTATAACTTTTACATTTTAATGTACAGTCGTCGTTGTTTATATTAATACAATGAAGACGACATAAATACATAAACATAGAAACAAAAAGAAGTTGTCAATCAACAGCTTCTCTTTTGTTTACTTGTACGCTTATAAATTAAAAAGGCTTTTTAGCAATAAAGAAGTCGTCTTCATTTTATTGATATACACGCTGACCATTGTATTAAATGTAAATCTAACCGTAAAAACATTGTATTAACCCTAGATGACCCTGGAGGGGGGTGGAGGAGGAGGCTGGAATAGTGTAACCGAGGATCCTTCAATGTCTGATTATCTCATGTATTTCAAGTAAGATCCAGTCAAATTGAACTAAACACTTCCCTCAAACTCTATTTTTTAAAAAATTTTTATATCACTAAGAACCAGAAAACAGCAATTGTGCAGTGTAAACAGACCCATTTAAATTGATAAGGGAAAACATCAAATAGACTTAATTTTTGCTTTGTTGTCGTCTACCTATTCCATGGGTTTCTGTTTATTATACTGTATATGCAACTTCAAACCAAATTTGATTAAAAGCAATATATTTTAGAATAAATAGAATAAGTTAAACCCCTTCTCTAAATCTTGAATCGGCGCACAAGAGAAAAGTGGTTTAACTTTGAGCTTAGGTAGTTTAACTACTTCTTAGAGTATATTCATTAAATTTGGACTTTTGATATTTCAATATTTCAATCTTTGAATTCATCAATACCAAAATGACAAAGTTTGAAATATCAAAGGTTTTGCAACGCCAAAGGAAATTAGAGTTTGAGGAAATTTCATTTCCACACAAAAAGATTATTTTCACGTTTTTTATGGCTCATTTTTGCTTCAAATTTAGGGGATCAGGATGTACACCATGCTCCTGTATTACAAGGTGCTTCATGTAGAGATGTGCATCGTGTTTTCTCATCCAATAATTTCAAACTTTTAAAAGGCTCCCCAATAATCTTAGATGTTGCTCCTTTTCAAAATGTAAGATATAAACCTGTAAGGCCAAAATGTATTAAGCTGTAAGGTCAAAATTTATTAAGATGTAAGTTCAAAATGTAATAAGATGTAATGCTAAAATTAATAAGATGTAAGGTCAAAATTTAATAAGATGTAAGGCTAAACTGTAGTAAGATGTGAGGCCAATGTTAATAATATCTAAGGTCAAAATGTAATAAGATGTAAGGCTCAAAATGTAATAAGATGTAAGGCTAAACTGTAGTAAGATGTGAGGCCAATGTTAATAATATCTAAGGTCAAAATGTAATAAGATGTAAGGCCAAGTTGTATTAAGGTGTAAGATCAAAATTCAATAAGATTTAAGAACAAAAGATAATAAGATGTAAGGAAAAACTACAATAAGATGTAATGCTAAAAATAATAAGATGTAAGGCCAAAATTTAATAAGATGTAAGGACAAAAGTTAATAAGATGTATGGTTAAAATGTATTAAGATGTAAGGCCAAAATTTAATAAAATATAAGGACAAAAGGTAATAAGCTGTATGGCCAAACTGCAATAAGATGGGAGGCCAATATTAATTAGATATAAGGTCAAAATGTAATAAGATGAACGGCCAAAATGTAATAAGATATAAGGCCAAAATTTACTAAGATGTCGACAAAAGGTAATAAGATGTAAGGCCAAACTTTAATTAAATTGTAATGCTAAATGATGAAAAAATCTAAGCTTCTTGTTAAACCTTTTAAAAGTAAAAAACCCTGAAATGTTTATAAATTAACCATAAAACAATGACCACATCATAATATATTAAGCTTGATATGAAATTTTTGGAATTTTGGAGATTATGACAATCCAAATAATTCATTTTTGATTTGTGTCTGATTGTTTAACTCTAAACACTGAACGGAGTATGCAAAAAGAAAAAGTAAAATTACTCAGACCTAACTCAATTATAATTTCTATTTGGATTTTAAACACTAAAACCATTTTATCTAAAACACATTAAATTCCTGTTAATTTAAAGAACCAAACCGACTTCTAGTATACATACAGAAAAACGGGACAGTACACCAAATAAATCATCCCCTTAAACTGAGATTGATGGGAAAAAACGGGACAGTACACCAAATAAATCCTCCCCTTAAACTGAGATTGATGGGGAAAAACGGGACAGTACACCAAATAAATCCTCCCCTTAAACTACGATTGATGGGAAAAACGGGACAGTTCACCAAATAAATCCTCCCCTTAAACTGAGATTGATGGGAAAAACGGGACAGTACACCAAATAAATCCTCCCCTTAAACTGAGATTGATGGGAAAAAGAATAATTGATCTTTAAGTAAATTATTATTTCGTGTTTTTAGGCCCAAGAGGTTTACGTTGAAGTCCTACAAACGTCTGTACTTTGTACTGAAGAACCTTTACTTGATGGCTTTTAAGTCAGCTGAGGCAGCTAAGCAGGAGGGAAATGTACTTTTTACAGTTATACTTAAGGTAAGCAGGGACATTACGTTGAAATCTAGGCAAACATAAAGTAAACATTAATTAGTCATTTAATCTTGATTAATAATGAAATTGTTCCTAAAATTTCCCTTTATTTAGAAGAAGACTCTTAAATTGATGTCATTAATTAATTAATTAATTAATTAAATTGATTAATTGATGTCATTAATTCATTGATGTCATTAATTAATATCATTGTTCGTCAAGAAAGGATTTTGAGCGAAGACGACATTTTGGCATATTAAGGGATGTGAGGTGACCCCGCTTGTAAACCTGGCAGCCTCTAGGTACGAGGTTAAGCTTGAGGTTCCATCAGCTGATGGAATGTCGGATATATATCTCAGGTTTACGTCGGTAAGTATTTCATAATAACTATGTTTTTCAAAACTTTGAGTGGGTTTGACTTTTAAAAGGTTTAACAAAAATACAAATTGGTTTACGCTAAGGAGATATCCGGAAAACATGAGCTATGGTCAAGATGTTTTTTCCACCCTTAGAAACTCATAAAATGATTTTTAACATTAAATGACAAATTTTCATCCTGAGAGAAGGTATATAAATCTAAAATATATATTTTTGTTGCGTTTTTCCTTATATTTTATCTTAGGATCCCAAAAAATATTTTTTTTTAAAATTAAATTTTTACAGAATACATTTTTGAAATGCTGGAACTTTCACAAGTTTAAAGTAATTGTGAGGTGTCTTTTTAAGGTCCAAAACCTTTAAAAAATTCTAAAAAACTATCCAATTTAGATAGATAGATAAAGTTTATTGATAAAATAAATACATGTATCTGTTTACAGAACGAGTATACAATTACAAATTGATAATTATTTTAACAGTACAAGTATAAAGCAATTAGGTGGAAAAAAACTATTGGCTGTTGTGATTGTTTTTTCCACCCAATTCTAATAATACAAATATGATTTATATAATATAAATATAATAGGAGCTTTTTTCAAAATATTTTTTTAAAATTCAAATGGGCAACGCCGGACAACTCAGCTAGTGGGGTTTTAAATAAAATATTATAGTTATTATACGGTAATTGAAATATTCCATATTTTAGTTTTTAGGGGGCTGTACAAAAATTTTCAGGATTTCATACTTTTAAACATTTTATTTTATATAAACTTTGCTTTAATTCAATTAAGGTAAATGCAGACTTTGACAGAACTAAGAAATATTAATCGTTCGTTAGCGAACGATTTGACAAATCGTTTAAGTAATTTTTTTTTTTGCCAAAGTCAAAATTTTACATAGTGGAGTTAAAGCAAACTTTTAGAGAATACAATCTTAAAACATGTTGAACTTCTCAAATATCATGTGAAAGGCTGAAAATCTAGAATTTTTATGAATAAAAGATGTTCATCTTTAAATTCCTTACTCCCTTCTGTATTTAACTTTAAAAATGTTTTTTTTTTTCAGGAGAATCAGTATGCTGATTGGCTGGCTGCTAGTAGGTTAGCCGCTAAAGGTAATTTTGTCAGCAGTGGCAAACAGAAAACAGCTGTGTTCTCGTCGTTTTCTGTCTTTCTTTTAATTATAAAACTTAATATGGAGCTGAACTATTCATAAGTGCCCTGAGGTTGGAACTTTTGTGTTCGATACTAATAATCCTGATAGCTTGCCACTTTTAAATGTTACGCTAGATCTCTTGATCTCTTGATTTTTGGATATCCGCAGTTTCTCTCTTCTCTCATTGGTTGAGAGTAAATTTGCCTGGCCTCTGATTAGCTGTTAATTCGTTTCCCCCAGATGACAACATATTGATTTCTACATTCTACAGGGTGTCCCAGTTAACATGGGAATTGATAATCGTCTTTGATTCCCGATAATTGATAAATGACACGAAGTGCATCAAAAAAAGATTTTAATGAAGTTTAATGAGCTTTCCAAAATGTGTTCTACTTTCTTTGCATCTTTGAAATTGACGGAGATATTAAACATTTGATCATTTTTGTTGATTTTTGATTAACTGGAATCTGGACAAATTTCCCAATATCTCCGTTAATTTTGGCGGTGAAAAAATGGTACGCCACATTTTTGGAAATCCCGAGACTACTAGTTTTCGGTGTTAAATGTTTTAACTGAAATACTACACAATTAAATTTACAAAATAATCCCACTTGGAACAAAGACGATATAGAAGTCGTCATTTAATTCCCATGTTTATTGGGACACTTTGTAGCATTGATCTCGATATCCACAAGAGTTCCCATCTCAGAACATTTGTATCTTAAAAGATATAAAGAAATTAAGAACCAGAAAACAAACTTTAATTTTAAATGTTAAAAAGTAAACAGCTGTAATACAATTTTGAGAAAGGTAAAAAATGTTAATTGCGCATTGTGGAATGTGTGCACGAGGGGTGTATACATTATATATGGTGGAGGGGGGAGATAAGGGGTGAGCCCCATAACGATATATAAAAACCAGGGGGGGGGGTGCTCCTCTGCACTCCCCCCTCATAAAAACAAGAAAACAAATTTATTGATGTATCCCTGTACGTGTGCACAACATTTTAAAGTTAAGGTAATGATTTACCCAATTTCACAAATGCAATAAATATCAGAGAAAAGACAAAAAAAGTAATTGGATTAGGTTTAAAGCATGTAAACAGTAAACACTGTACTTGATAACGTCGAAAAGAAAGAACAATGGAAGTAGCCACTTTATACTCATAATGGGCTGACAAGGACATAATGTAAGCTTTCATGCTCAAATTACTCATTTTTAACTGTAGTACTTTAAATGTAGGTCCACAGAAGATATATAATTGAGGCATAAGAAAAAATATTAGCTAAGGCGTTGCGACACTTAAAAGTCACCCCGGTCATTAATACATTAATGCGTTGTTGCCATAGCTGTCTGGGTCTCTTTTTTATGCAAAATAATTTTGTTTCGAATTTTTTAATTTTTTTTAAAAATTTTTATTTAGGGAAAACTCTGGCTGATTCAAGCTTTGAGATGGAGGTTAATTCTATAAAGGTATAAATTATACTGAGAGTCCCAAAATAAGACGGAATAATAAACAGCTTTTAATGGATTATGCATTTATTTTGAAATGCACATAATAATAATGTTTTTGCCAAAAACCCGTTTTCATGTCTTTCTTTGCTTTGTAAAATTGAAGGTTTTTACATGTATCTTTTTATTTCTAACCGTTTTTTACAATGTTTTTAAAGATTATTTTTATTTATGATTTAGGCATTCCTATCAATGCAGTCTCCGGCAGCAAGTCCAGCAATAAACCCTGCTTCTATTGAGATCAATCCCGACGAATATGTTGCCCCGAGGTTTGCTAAGAAGATGAGATCAAAGGTATATTGGATAAAGCCGCAGATCATGCCATAGAATCGGATTATATTTTAATATGCGCGGTTCGCTTAGTTCCCCTTGTCCGTCCTATTTGGTAGGCATTGATTTGCAAAAATGACAAAAGCTTTGAACACTCTAGAAAAATTTGAATTTGCAAAAATTTAGTATGATAATAGATGATAATGATAAAAAAGAATGGTATGCGAAAATACACTCTTTTATAGTTAAGGGAAGAGAAACAATTGAAAATGAGATTCGCAGATTTCTGTAAATTGATTCCCGCATTTCCACTTCTCTGAGAAAGAGGACATTAAAATTTTTGATCATTAAATACTTGTAGATCCGTCAGAAGATTCTGGAGTCCCACACCAACGTGAAGGACTTGAACTTGATAGAGGCCAAGATGAACTTCGTGAGGGCCTGGCAGAGCCTTCCAGAGTACGGGGTCAGTCTCTTCGTTGTGAGGTAAAGTATTATATATACATACACCAGGCAATTCAAAAAATAGTGTTATTAGAGAAGTCTTGTCTTGTCAACCTGTTTCTTTACCAATTCCCATTGTTGACAGATTTAAAATAACTTTTCTGCTTTTTGAAACTTTTCTTTGTAACCATGAATGTAACCAATCAATCAATCAATTAATTAATCAACCAATCAACTAATCAATTAATCAATCAATCAATCTATAGTCAATAAATTTAGGTTCCATGGTGAGAAAAAGGATGAACTGCTGGGAGTTGCCTCTAACCGTGTAATGAGGATGAGCCTCCAAACCGGAGATCATATCAAAACATGGAGATATTCAACCATGAAGGTAAAATAACGGAGATCATATCAAAACATGGAGATATTCAACCATGAAGGTAAAATAACGGAGATCTTGTGAAAACATGGAGATATTCAACCATGAAGGTAAAATAACGGAGATCATATCAAATCCATCTTTTTGAATCGGTCAATCGATTATAAAATAGAAACTCTGAAATTATTTCGATGCTTTATGAGACCTTATTTCAATTATTTTCAGGCCTGGAATGTGAACTGGGAAACTCGGCATATGATGATTCAATTTGAAGACGACAAAAATGTGATTTTCCAGGTAAACCATGGATAATGTCTAAAACAGGAAAAGGTCTGTTAAAGAATCTAGGCCTATTTCATTTAACAAGTTGATTAAAGCTATTGCAAAATTATTTCTAAAATATCATCTGAACGGAAATAAGAGATCCTCTGAAAATTGATTGTTTTTAATTTGATTAAACGTTATTTACGGATTCATGCAATATACTGATGAGGAATTTTTGAGAATTAACAACTTTTCAAGATAGAACTCTTCATTTTTCGAATTAAAGGTTTACAAGTAATTAAAGAGAAGCTTTTTTAGTTGACAGCTTCTCTTTGTTTCCATTTTTTGTGTATCCACGCTGTATAAAAGCTTGATAAAAATAAAATTAAAATCGAAAGTCGTCTTTATTGTATTGATATAATTGCCTACCACCGTATATGAGAGCTAATGGGTGAATAGGACTTATGACACATTAAATCAAGAAATAAGTCTACCGCTTAAACCTTTCATATTCTTTTATTTCAGTGTTTGTCTGCTGACTGCAAGGTTATTCATGAATTTATTGGAGGATATATTTTCTTATCAATGCGTAGCAAGGATTCTAATCAACAGCTAAATCAGGAGCTCTTCCACAAACTTACTGGAGGCTGGATTTAAATGTCGTCTTATTTGAGAGTAATGTCGTCTTACATGATACAAATGTCTTCATATATGACATAAATATCGTCTTATCAGGGACAAACGTCAGACGAAGATGAACTAAATGTCTGTTAAAATTTATGTAAATGTAGTGTTAACTTTTAAATTGAAAAAAACATCTCTTTGTCTTTGTAATTTCCCAGAAACTTAATTTCTTGTCGGCTTGATGTTCCCAATCATCTTCTTTAATGTTCCCAATCATCTTCTTCTCGAATCAGTCAAGGAACTTTTTATTAATTTTCCCTTAATTTGTTCTCCTTTATGTATTTACCTAAACCCGAACTATATGACCATATTAAATAGATTGATATTTTTTTTCAAAAAAAGTAGCAAATTGTAAATATGTACAAAACCGGTATTCTAGCATGGATGATTATAAGAGGAATAATTGTTTTCAGATTATATCAAATATATTTTAATTTAACTAATATTTAACATATAACTAAAAACATGTCCTTGCAGAAAGAAAGGTCGATTTATCAAAATTTTTAATTTTTGAAAAAAATTTGACAAAGTCTCTGAAAAATCCGTTTTTGGGCAAAGATTTAGCAGCTTTGAAATAACAAAACAAATCTACCATCGATTTTTAGATCTATTAGCAGAAACATGACATGACATTAACATCTAAGGTAGAGGGAGGGGGAGAAATTCTTAAAATATGTAAAAAATCGATCAACTTTAATCTGCAACATTTTAATTTGTTAATATCTGTATATAAATGTTTTAATATGTGCCATTTACCACTTTTTGTGCCAATTAAACTAAAATAAATCTTTTAATATTAATTTTACATTTTTTAAGGATAGGATAGAGTAAAAAATAAAAACAGTTTTATTGATCATGATTTAGTGGTTTAGATATACTTGGCTTTTAGAATTACTTTAGCACCTTTTTAATACAAATTTTAGCTTTTAACTTTTACTTCTAAACTCGAATGCATCTTTCATAGTTCTCATAACAACAAATTAAACTTTTTCAGTTTCTCTTTAAAGCTGGATCCGATAGGTTCATCCGTCTTGAAGTTTATTAGATACGAACAAACAAACACACACCTACCCAAACGAAAAATATATATCTAATAACATTAATTTTCCAATAAATGTAAACAAGGTTGTTTATTCATTTATTTCGTGAAAGTACACAATTTAGATAATTGATACAAAAAATATTGAAATAAATCCAAATAAAAAAAATCTTAATGGAGAAATATTAAAAATTACTGTAACCTTTGATGAGATTTAAAAAGATTTATCTAAAGTCTGGTACATATTTTTAATATTTTCGGCGAGTTTTCTAAAATGAAGAAATGAAAAAAAATATTCCAGTTAGCATAAGGAGAAAAACCTCCAAAAGGGTAAAAATAAATGACTTAAAGTAAAAAACCACAGATTTTTAGCTAAGAGGTATAAAGACTTTTAAATTTCTATTAGTGATTGCAAATTGGCGGTCCAAAGTAGGACTGCAAAGGTTGGTGCAGCTCGGATATTCAAATGTACACAGGTAGAGCGTCGGATGATAGTATTTGGAAACAATCTTTGAGAATAAAAACATGGGGATAAAAATTCGGAATTGAGGTCCTGTGATAAAGTCTTTGGAAAGCTGTCTTTTCAATTTTCTAGTGCTAGAGAGTAGGGTTGGGATTTGTTTAAAAACGATCTAAAGTCTTTTCAAGCAAGATCCTTTTCTCATATGAATCTGAAACCAATAAAAATTCATTTTATAAAATCATTCGAGGAAAAAAATCATTATCCAGTGATATAAAAATATCGCAAGAATTATGTCATGAAATCTAAAAAATTTTTCTTAAAGGGTCGGCTGTTTTCTTACTTTCAACTATCTCAACATTTATATCACGTGTCATTGTCAGGCTGAATACAATCATGACCAAGAATTCAAGCGGAAAAAATTATGGAAGACGAATGCCTGACACTTAATTTTGGCGAATTTTTGTCCGTGCTTTAACTGACGTGCTTTTTTCTTATTTTTCATTTTTTTCTCATTCATAATTTGCACTAATTTTGATTCAGTTATTTTTTTCTACATGTAAAACATATTCTATATTTATAAATCAGATTTTATTTAGTTTAATACTCCAATATATATATTTACTTCGTACAAAATTGTTGAACACTGATTTGTGTCTTAATGTTATCGATATTAACATCCATGATATTAACTTTCTTTTGAAAGATTGAAAATTATAATTTCTTATCACAAAATGAGGTTTTTGATGAATAAATAAAGTTAAACAAAACTGGGAACCTTCCTATTGTGAAAGAACCTGACAATTTGAAATCAACCTTTTTTTCATTTTATTAAATTAAATTAAAATATTTAAATTTTTTATTTCACTATATCAGAATGAGGATATCGGGACTTTGAAATTTCAAATTTTATGTAATACTACTGCATTCTTAATCCAAAAAAAATGGAAGAATGTTGTCAAATTCAGTTTTAAAACTAAATATTTTTTATTTTGTAAGGTTAACATTGTTACGTATAATGATCACAATCTTCTATGTGTACGAAAAAACATTTTTCTTTCATAAATATAATGAGCTATGTAACATAACAATTTGTACATCTAATGAGGTTCGAGGAATCTAATGAGGTTCGAGAAATGAAATGAGGTTAATTCGAGGTTGTCAAATTCCATACTTGTCTCTTCTATTTAAATCTTTAACTCATTTTATCGAAAAACCACAGTGGAAATACTCAATTTTCAAAAATACAAGGTTATATCCATCATTTTATCTGTGCCATTGGTGCAAGGAGTGCCTAGCTTGAAAGTTCTTTAAGTTAAAGACCGAGGCTTGCAGATAACTTTGAATGGTTTTGGAAGTACTGTAATTCCAGTGATACAGTCCTCTGTTGGAAGCTTTCCACTGATCTCTGGTTGAAGGTGAAACTGTTGAACAATACTAGCAAAGAACAGAAAAAGTTCTGCCTTTGCCAAGGTCTCACCCAGACATCGTCGTTTACCAATAGAGAATGGAATAAAATGCTCATCAAACTTCACTGTACCGGATTCATCAAGAAATCTTTCAGGTCTAAAAACCATTCCATCCCCCCAGTAATCTCCTTTAAGTATTTCAGTGAAGCATTGACTGATCATAGTGTTGGCTGGAATTATCATTCCATTTACATGGACAGGCTTGTTTGACATGTGATGTACACCATTGGGCACAATATTGGCACATCTCTGAATCTCCATAAGAACAGCCTCGGTGTACGGTAGATTTGGTCGATCTGCAAGACTTGGCAACCTTGATCCCCCCACTACAGTATCAAGTTCAGTTTGAACCTTTCTCTGAATATCTGGCTCTCTAACCATGTAGAGGACTGCCCAGGTGAGTGTGGTTGATGTGGTTTCAGAGCCGGCAATAAAAAGATCTATTAGGGTGTTAACAAGGTGATTATACCCCACATCTTGATAAAAGCTTGACTCTTTGTCTGTTGTGTTCTGTATCTCAATGAGCATGGTATCAATAACATCCCTAGGGGAGTTAACATCCAGAGTTTTCTTGTGCTGCTCAATACTATTACGCATTAGGTTTGCAATTGCTTGGTTAACTTCGATGTCAAGTTGACGTTGAAACAAGTTTGGAAATATTTTGAAAAGCCATGGATATACTATAGCAAAAACACCAGTTGGCTTTGCAAACTTTTGTAATAATTCTGTTAATTTCTCCAAAATTTCAATCAGTTTGGGATCACTGTACTCAAAACTCTCACCCACTGTGATTTTCCACAAGGCGTTTAGAATGGGCAAGTTAAATTTTCCTGCAATATCAATAGGTGTACAAGAGGTCTGTTTCAAATATGCGATAAACTGCTTAACTTCGTCTTGAATCATCTCCTCCATGGTTGATTTGCCAAAACCAAAGTCTCGAAGAACTTTAAGTGCTGTTCGTCTTTGCTCTGTCCAAGCTTTGCCCTGGCTCATGATAACACCAGCAAGGGGTCCTGGATTAGTTCCGCGGTCTATGGAAATTTTGTTGGCCATTCCACATTTTCTATAATCATTATGTCCTCGGTTCTGCACATTTGGATCATTGTAAATTTGCTTCAGCACGTTAAAATCTCCAACAAAAACATTATTCAGTCCAAAAACATTCAAAAGCATCATTCCATTTGATGAATATTTCCTGTATAAATCCCAAATGAGGTTTGCTGGATCTGAACCATTGGTTAATATCTTGTAGTGACCTATCAGGGGCAGACAAGCCCCTGGAGAAGGCAGGAGACTAAACTCCTTCCTGGACCACTTGTAGTACAGGACGGTGAGAAGGAGGAGGATTACTAACAGGAGCCACATGATTCACTTAATCCTGCACCCACCAGCCAAAGTAAGATTACTACTGTGAATGCACTGTGTAACACTGCAACTCAGGCTTAGTTTATTATCTTTCCCGCTCTACAACTGTTACATGACACACGAGTACGACTGAAGCGCAGCGTTGCCAACTCCCTGATAATTCCCAATTTCTGTTTTGAAAATTCCCTGTTTTTTATAGTACTGAATACACAAGTAATAAAAGTGCTTTCAATGGTTATCAACTTATAAAAAATCCCTTAAAATCAAGCATTTTCAATATTTTAAAAGCTATTTTTGGGAAAAGCTGCCTTGAAATTGATTGATCTGAATTAGATTTGGTTTAGATCATGATAACATCTGTATTGAAAACTAATTGATGACAGAAAACGTTATGAATTTAAGACAATTTCATTGTTTTCAAGCACAATTTATAAAATATATCAGCAATTTTAAATTTCCAAGGAATACCCCAATTTTCAATTAATTCCCCGGGGAATTCCCCATTCCCCATTGAATTAGAAATTCCCCAGATTTCCAAAAATTGGGGAAAAATTCCCCCGTTGGCAACGCTGCAGTGAAATCTGTAGCCTGTGGGTCTACATAACTGGTTTCTTAGTTCACAGAGTGTATGCACTCTAGGGCAGACACAGGGTAGTTATGAGCACTTGCCGCGTTGAATTACAAGAAAGAGAGAGATTGATATATATTTTAGGGTTAGGCTAGTTTCAGACACTTTCTGGGCCGAGCACTGCGGCTAGGCCAGACTAAGGGGTTGAGCGCCGCGGCTAGAACAGGCTCTCTCTCTCTCTTGTAATTGAACGTGGCATGCGCAAGTAACTTCTTTGGGCTTCCGCCCAGACAAAGCATGAGAAATAGTAAGCACGCGCCTCGCACTGCGCATCTAGGGCAGACGCAGTAGAGGGAACATTGTGCAATCCATAATTTACATAAGCATTTCATTCCATAAGTGCAATTTAAGAGATGAGGCAATTTCGTATCATGGCCAACTTATTATTTTTTTATACAAAGTTGTTTCCTATGTTTGGGTGTCTGTTTGTTTGTTTGTACGAAAATAACTCAAGAACACCTGGACCGATTTGCCTCAATTTGATTAGGAAACTTGGGAGAGCAAAGGTGATGTTCTCAGCTTGATTTTGAGATTCGAAGTTGAATGGCTAAAATCGTAGTTTACGACCAAGTTCGGGTAAACGGCGGGAGTAACATAAGAGTAACCTGCAATGGCTTTGTTCCAAATCTAGTAAATACATACAGGGAGGGATAATCATGGGTAGAGTGTCTAATAAATACATACAGGGAGGGATAATCATGGGTAGAGTGTCTAGTAAATACATACAGGGAGGGATAATCATGGGTAGAGTGTCTAGTAAATACATACAGGGAGGGATAATCATGGGTAGAGTGTCTAGTAAATACATACAGGGAGGGATAATCATGGGTAGAGTGTCTAGTAAATACATACAGGAGGGATAATCATGGGTAGAGTGTCTAAAAAATACATACAGGGAGGGATAATCATGGGTAGAGTGTCTAATAAATACATACAGGGAGGGATAATCATGGGTAGAGTGTCTAATAGTCCAGACATTTTTTCCCGGCGGAAATTATAATTGCCGGAAAAGATGAACTGGAAAATGGAATTCCGGTAATTTCATGAGTGATTTTGTATTATAAGTAAAAATTAATGCTCAGTTATAAAGATGAATGGTCAATGGTATAAAATATTAATTTCAAAATATACATTATTCTTTCCTCATTGTGTTGTAGAAACTTTTCCATGACAAGGGGAAACAGCATGGTGACAATGTGACATATATTAATGTTCGTTCAATGTCGACAAAAAATTGGATGTGTTTTTTTGAATACCACTAAAAAAGACTTTAATAACTTTTTTCTTCCAAGGATTTATATTACCATTATTAATCACATCTTTTGTTATTTATTGCTCCAAAATATTTTTTAAGACATACTTTTTACACACTATAAGAGTATTCACCGGAAATTCCGTTTTCGTTTTCACCGGAAATATAATTATTGTCTTTCCGGCAAAAAAGGGTTCCGGAAACCCCCTGTCCTACGGAATTTAACGCTACGGAAATGATTTTTAAAGCGGAATAAATTCCTTTTGAAAAATATAAAAATTCAAAATAGGAAATAATTTTAAGTGTTTTTATATAAATCCTAAAATCCTACAAAGCAAGCTTGGTTTCCAACTCTTTGCAATGTGAAGGAATTTAGTCTTTTCCAAAATCTCAAGTGTTCTAATCCCTATATCTTTGCAACCTGAAGGATTAAACCTTTGATATTTTAAATTTGGATTGTTAGATCTGACATAAATCATAGTTTGAAATATCAAATGTCTACAACATCGGGTTGCAAAGGTATTAGGATTAGTAAAACAGAATTTGCAGAAAAAGCTCAATTCCTAGTTAAAAAGTCAGTTCTCATTTTTTCCTTCCAGGACCTTAAGTTAATATTTATTAATTTTTTTATTAAATCTAAACTCTATTCCTGCTGTAGTTTTTTTTACATAACTCGAAAAATATTGGTGGGAGGCTGTTGAAATTTTCTTACTTTTCTTAAAACCGGAATACCCATAGCCCTCCCATTAGGTCTAAAACCGGAATACCCATAGCCCTCCCATTAGGTCTAAAACCGGACTTTTATACTAACTGCCTGAGTCCTCAGGACATACTGCCTAAATGACTACTTTTTCTTGTAACAAACTAAATCTTTGTACTGATCCACTTTGTTGTCAGAGTTTAATAACTTTCAGCTTTTTGGAAAGCCTATGACATAAGGAAACGGATTGCACACATGTGCACAGTTTTGCAAAGAAATTTTGCAAATTTGATTTGTTTACAACCCGTCAAAATAAATTGGCATTTAGTTATTCTCAATATAACATTTTATCATTTGTTGGACATTTTTAAATTTGCAAACATTTTAACTATAAAACTGGATTTTGCAAAAAAAATTCATATTTTTATTCAACTACAAAGCACGAGATAATACAAATAACAAATCACAATTTACTATGTAGTTTGGACCCGCATATATAAGCGAATAAGAATTGTAAATAAATAGATTGATGTACACTGTAGTACAGTGTACATTTAAACAAAACAATGATGATAAATCATGAATAAAGTAAGGAGGGGGTGGAAGAGTAGAAGGGAAAGGGAGGGTACTCAGCGGGATGGTTGTAACAGAGGGTAACATACAATATTAGAATCATGTTTATGAATTACAGGGTGAAGAAGATAGCAAAGTTTAAGTTTATCCACATGAGAAACAGTTATTTTTTTACAGATATAACTTGCATAACTATCTAAATAGTTTTTGAAGATTTAAAAAAAAAGTTTATATTTTTTATATTAAATTAAAGTTTTGAAAGTTGTCAGTTTTTGCAGATTCTAAAATGAGAGAATGCGAGCTTTCTTATGATGTATCATTTGTCATATTTGGACATAAAACATGGTATTTAGAGGGGAGGGGGTCAAATTGACTCTCCCTCCCAGCGCACCCCGGTTTTCCCTAGTAGGGATGGGGTTAAAATTGAGAGTTTTTTTTAATGTTTCTAACGAAAACTTAAACAGATCCCAGATAAGCATTGTATTTTCATATTTTGTAAATTTCTACTTTCTAGAAATAATTATATTAAGAGGCTCTATATTTTCTCAATCTTTACATTTCGAATTTTAATAAAATTCACATTTCATACTTTTGTTGCGGTTAAGTAAAATCAACTTGCGCGCGTTGGAAACCCTACTTATACTACAAAAAGGAATACATAGATTTCAGGCAGACTACTTAAAAAACTCGTTGTTGGGTGTTAGAAATACAGTGCATGTAATTTTACTCTGCAGTGCCATATATTTGACCATAAAGGAGCTCAGCACACATTTTTAACTATGATATTTTATGATATGATATTTTATATTCTGAAAAGAACAAAAATAAGTTGTGGGAGTCCGGAGTGCTTTGGATTCCTATTTTTGATATTTACAGTGTACAGAAAAGGATGAGACTTTTTTCCTCCTGCACAAAATCCTCTAGCATACCAGAGAAGTAGTATAAAAGCAGAATCCCAAATTGTATTTTAAGTTTTAAGATAATTAAAAAATACATTTTTTTAGTTGTTTAGTTTATTTAATTAGTTTATTGTTTAGTTTAGTTTCGAAAAGAGTTATGCCAGTTAGTTAGTTAGTTAGTTAGTTAGTTATTTAGTTAGTTAGTTAGTTATTTAGTTAGCTAGTTAATTAGTTAGTTAGTTATTTAGTTAGTTAGTTAGTTAGTTAGTTAGTTATAGTTAGTTATTTAGTTAGTTAGTAAGTTAGTTAGTGTGTTGGTTAGTTGGTTAGTTAGTTAGATAGTTATTTAGTTAGTCATTTAATTAGTTAGTTAGTTAGTTAGTCAAGTTAGTTATTTAGTTAGTTAGTTAGTTAGTTAGTTATAGTTAGTTAGTTAGTTAGTTAGTAAGTTAGTTAGTTAGTTAGTTAGTTATTTAGTTAGCCATTTAATTAGTTAGTCAGTTAGTTAGTCAATTTAGTTAGTTAGTCAAGTTAGTTAGTTAGTTAGTTAGTTAGTCAAGTTAGTTAGTTAGTTAGTTAGTTAGTTAGTTAGTTAGTTAGTTAGTTAGTTAGTTAGTTAGCTATTTAGTTAGTTAGTTAGTCAAGTTAGTAAGCTAATTAGTTAGTTAGTTAGTTAGTTAGTTAGTTAGTTAATCAAGTTAGTTAGTTAGTTAGTTTGTTAGTTAGTTAGTTAGTTAGTCAGTTAGTTAGTTAGTTAGTTAGTTAGTTAGTTAAGCAGATAGTTAGTTAGTTAGTTAGCTATTTAGTTAGTTAGTTAGTTAGTTAGCTAGTTAGTTAGTTAGTTAGCTAGTTAGTTAGTTAGTTAGTTAGTTAGTTAGTTAGTTAGTAGAGTTTGTTTTATACTATTCTGTACTACACTTGTTCGTCATTGTTTGCTTGGAAGTTGGACTTACATTTAAACAATACAAATGACTGAACAATTTGGTTAAAAAAACAGATTAAATATTTCTTGTTTTTAGGGCAATTTCTTGGCCGAGCACTGTGGCTAGGACAGGAAAGGAATTCAAAAAGTATTATTTCAATGTGATAAAAGTTAACTCTGATAAGAAATTAAATACTGCAAAAATTTTCAAATGCTTCGTTCAGGAAAGGTTAGATTTTTTAGCCTTTATTTTCTTTTATAATCCAAATTTTGCTCAATGTTTAGAAAACTAACTTGGAATCGAGTCTTTGCCCCAAACTAAAATTTACAAATCCACATATCTTTACAACCTAATGGTGTAGACCTTTGAGATCTAGCTCACTTAGATTATAAATTTTAAAATAATTTGTAGTTTGAAATGGTCTACGATTTGGGGATTTGAAAATCAGAGTTTGTTGCAAAACCTCAGTCCAACTCTATTGCATAATGTAAGAAAACTTGTAAAATTTAAGAAAAATGTTTTTCATCTGGTGGATTTATATGGCGCCTGAAGTCCACAAAAGTATGTTTATATCATTTTTTTTTGTGTAATAAAATGAATTGAGGTCAAGCATTCAAGATTAACGATGCTCCCAGATTGGAACTATACACTACCCTGTTTTTAGAAATTAGTATTACAATTTAATTTCTCTTAATAATATAGTAATCATCTTATCGTGAAGCTTATAAAAACAGATAAAATTATAAACTTGTATTTTTAGTTTTGAATTTTTATCCAAACTAAAGTCAGAGATAGGATCTAACCTCGCGAAGAATTAAACAGGTTTGAATGCGTAAATAATTAAAAATAAATGATTTTAGAATTGGCTAAAGCAGATTTTTAAGTTTTTATTTGGAATAATATTTTTGTAAATATTGATTAAGACCTGTAAAATTTATTTTTAATTTCTGTTTTCTAATTAAACGTGGAAATCATTTCCCCGAATTGTAGAAACTAAATTTCTTTAAAACGAATGTATTGAAATTTTTTTAAAAAGAACCAATATTTTTTTCTTTCAATTTTTTCAGAAATAATCTGTGCATTGAATTTTTTTATTCATTTTTCTATTTAAAATAGCATGCGTGTATTTCCAATGCAAAACATAGCTTAAAGGGAATGACTGGCGATGTATGGTTGTTGAACTAAGTATGCAATATTGTAGACATTTGTTTTATGATTCATTTGAGACACCTAAAAACGTTTCCACAAAGTACAATTACTGAATTTGAGTGCAAAGTCGACGTTAAAAATTATGAATTTGGGTGGGTAGGTTTCCAGAATCGTTTTTTATTTTCAATGAACAACGACGAAAAATACAGTAAAAATTCTATAGTAAACTAATTAGATGTTTCAGAACATACTTCTCAAAAGAAATTTGTCAATAAATCAATGTTACAATCAATTCTTTTGTTTTCATCATTATTTTGAATTTCTTATTATCTCTGCATTTGTTATTCGCAGATGTATACCAATTCTTCAAATGTCGTCTTTTCAATAAAAATTTCAGAAAATCTATGTAATATAGAAACTGATAATTGAATAAGATTACTTATTTTCGATGATACGAGTTAATTTTTATTTTCTCAGCCTGTCCTTAAACAACTAATTAGTTTACTGTAGAATTTTGTTACATTTTTTGTCATTGTTATTCAATAATTAAAAAATAACGATTTTCGAAACGTACCCGCTCAAATTGATGATTTTGAACGTCGACTTTGCGCTCAAACTCAGTAAATATACGTCGTAGAAACGTTTATTATGTCTCAAATGAATCCTAAAAATTTGTCCACAATACTACATATACATTGCCGATCACTCCCTTTAAAACAGTATGTAGTACTAGGAGAAGGATATATAGTTGATAAACAAAGAGACATTGGGACAGACAAACAGTCACCAAGACAGGCAGACAACAGAGAGATAGATAGAACGACAAACATCCATACATTTATAAGGTTGATGGACAAAAAAAATACGTCAACAAACGAAAAACGGGAAAACATTGTTGTTCGTTTTAGAATAAAAACATATATTTTTGTTTTTAAAGGCATCTTCATCATTAATAACCCTGTATGTAAATGAGCTGTAATTATATGTAAATAAAAATATTTTGGAATAAAAAAGGAATTATTTTCACCCTGTTGTATAAACATTAACATAATTATGGAATTTTTAACTCTTAATTATTTTATTATTCCTCCCCACTTGCTCCAGTTCCCGAGGTTCAAGAACCCTTTCATATTCCCTTTTTCAAAACATCGAGGTAGGGGTGTAGGGCCTCCATAAGCCTCGTGTTATGATTTCCGAGCCCTTGCAATCCGTCTCGGAGATGTTTTTACTGGCTTGGATTAAATTCTGACAATTACTTTTGAATGGGATATCCTTAATCCCGATCGCTTAATCTGAGTATCCAATGAACACGTTCACTTTTGTTTTTCTTCTTAGTCCTCTCTTTTGCAACCCCTACTGTATAAAAGTTTTGTTTTGTTTTATAACAATTACAGACATGATGCTATATCGATTGGTATAACATTCGATAGAACTAAAGACAGCTGTTCAAAAGCCGGCTTTTGGAGCATATAAAATCTTAAATTCGTTCAATCTATTATTAATTGACATGACACTATCAACACAAAAAATGCGGGAAAAATAAAGAACGGTTTTTCAAAAGTTCAGGAGAACATCTGTAATCTCTAGAAATTAACCTAAAGACTAAATTAATCTTGAAGCTAAAAGAGAGGATCAAGCATTGATCTCGATATCAACCATTCTAAAGTTTTCAACTCATGTCATTTAAACCGTAGGACTTTTGAAGTGTCAGAAATTAGGACTTTTTTCCAAAGACTTTTTTAATATTGACTTTACAGGAGGTTACCAATAAGGAGTATTGTTGTAAATTATAAGGTCACTGAAAATTGCAACGATACTTTCTGACCGCCCGGTTTATTGAATACAAACCAAAAAGTATAATACTCTTATATATAAATTTAATAGTTAATGATATTTGTAACATCATTAAACATTTTCTTATGTTTACTTTGCAGCATCAAGACACAATTATTGGTAAATGTTGACTCTTTATTTGAAAGTTTTATGCAAGGAACTACACTTGGAACTCCCAACTCTAATGTTTGCAAATTGTGTACTATATACTGTCGGAGCCCCAACTTTAAAAGAGTATATCGTTGAACGAAAACCAACTAGGAACCACCATATCTGATGCGTCAATGCTGTGTACTGCACTGTACTCTAGCACCGGTTATGGGTTATATTACTCCCAGAGCCCGAACTTTAAAAGAGTATATCGTTGAACGAAACTCCTGAGTTTCCTTTTTGGGGTCTTAACATTTGTGTAGATTTTGATCTAAGATATTCGAAAAAAAGGAGAATGTAAACAAACTGAAATAAAATAAAATTTCATTACAAAAATATTGATATTCACAAAACTGCCTAACCCCATACTTGTTAAGACCCAAAAAAGGAAACTCGGGAGTTTTATTTAACGATAATCTTTCAAACTTCGGGCTCTGGGAGCAATATAAAAAACTTAGTTTGCCCAGAAACGGTGCTAGAGTACAGTGCAGTACACAGCATTGACGCATCAGATATGGTGGTTCGTAGTTGGTTTTATAGTTCTTATTCTAGTCAACAATTTGCAATCTGAAAAATCATCTCATGACACGGAATGACTATTCACAAGATTTAAAATATCATGTTTTAAAAGGCATTTGTTTGTATTAGTAAATCTACGACAGTCCAATTTACTGCTTAAAGGGACTAAAGACGTAATTTCAAATGAATCTTTATTTCCAGTTGATTAGTCAACGGTCTAAAGGGTACCGTTGTAAATCGTTGTAAAATTCTTTTAATTTAATTCTGATTTGAAATTAAATAACGAACAAATTTTTTCTCTTATTAATCATATATTACATAGTATCAGTATTATATAATATTTACATGTAATAAATAAAGTAATAACCCCCATATCTTGGAAACCTGAACCTAAATGTTTATATATTACTTTATAAATACCCCACTGTATTATCTGTCAGTTTTAATCTTTATCTGTACCTTAGACTTAACGTATAGTTTAGCTGGATAGAAACTCTGTTTTATTACAGTCAAAGGTATTAGTTCTCGGCAGAGAGTATAGAGTTTGAGAGAGTATCTGAATTGATAGATACTTAAGAATACAGAGAGGGTTGTATCTGAATTGATATGTACTTATAGAACTATTGGAGTAAGACATTGGCTACAAAAGTAGTGGCTGTGGTGAGACCTATGATTCCTAGCTCCAAGGAAGAAATGTACAGTGTGACCCTGGTTTAACTGAAACCTTAGAAGGAGATACTATGTTAGAAGAAACAGTAACAGTGCAGCAACAAATAAAGCAGTGAAAAAGATGCTGTTGTCTTGTATCACTGGATCAGCTAGACAACAGATAGTACTGTTGCATCATACAGGATTAGCATTTGAGAACTATGAGACAGGAGAGTTTTTCACAGAGCTGTTGAAGAAATTCTCACAAGAAAAAACTAGGAAGGTGTGGCGGACAAGTCGTCGTACTTTCCGCCGTAATGTCTGCAAGTACCTACCTGATCTAAACTCATGTAATATATATAAAAGTCGCCATTTTTAGTATTCTCGTTTTCTTTGTTCTATTTCATGTAAAAATATACTAGTTGTTTTTTGACTTTCGTCTTTTATTTAGCCGTCGCTAAAAAGGCATGAAACAGTAATACTTAGACAGGAAACAAGAAAAAATGAAGATCCCCGGAACTATTACACCGCCAAATTGGGTACAAGCATATGCTCCAGCCAAGAGATCAAGGCAGTGATGGATCATCAGTTCGTCAACTTAAGAACGAACAATGCAGACCCAAGGGTCCCTTCCCATTATCTGGCTGGATTAAGGAGCACATATAGTTTTGAGACAGAGGGCAACGGCACAAAAATGGATGAGATATGGGAAACAGTTCCCATGGATGTAAATGCAATGCCTGGTTTTGTGTTAGATGAATCAGAAAAAAAAGAAAAAGATAGTTAAGGAGATGTCAATTCAATGCAGACTGGAAATGGCTGTTTCTTCAAGAAAACCGGTCATCAGAAGAAGGATTGTAGGAAGTATGAAGAATGGAAAAAGAAGAATCCAAACTGGAAGAAGGAA